ATCCCCCCTGAACCGAGCATCCCCCCCCGGACCGAGCATCTCCCCCCGGACCGAGCATCTCCCCTTGGCAGCACGGCCACTGACCCTCCCTGGCTCACCGCATGTCCCCCCCTGTCCCATACCCACCAGCCAAGGCCAACAGCAGCATGGCCAGTCCCTTCCCGGTCAGCCAGAGCAGCCAGTGAGCCGTCACCCGCAGCCTGGCGCTGAGCGGCGTGTCCCCATCGGCCGTGCCACCGCGCCGCTCCACGTCCTCCTCTTCCCCCTGCCAGGCGAGGTGTGCGGTGTGAGCCCCGTGGCTGGACTCAGACCGCTGCCCACCGTGCCTCAGTTTCCCCACTTGAGGGAGAACACGGGTGGATGTCCCCATCGGCCGTGCCACCGCGCCGCTCCACGTCCTCCTCTTCCCCCTGCCAGGCGAGGTGTGCGGTGTGAGCCCCGTGGCTGGACTCAGACCGCTGCCCACCGTGCCTCAGTTTCCCCACTTGAGGGAGAACACGGGTGGACGGCCGGGGCGCTCTGCCCGGCACTGTGCGGGCGCACAGCCCGGCACCTGGCTGTGTTTATCTCATTAGCCGCTTGGAAAACGCCTCTGGAAGGCAGCTTTTTTTGTTGGCTCCGGCGCCCGGGTTCCCAGCACTGAGCTTTTTTCCAGGCTGCCTCCCGCGCTGGCCCCGCGCTCACAGCAAAGGCATTTGCAGCGGCCGGTGCTCCGGTTACAGCCCGGCCGTGGCCGGAGCCGGGCAGGCAAACACCCGCCACGACAGCCCGGACCAGTGGGGAGCACCCCAAAACAGGGCTGAGCCATGAAAGGTGTTTGCTGAGCTGGGGGATGCCATCGGCTCGGGGTTGTGTCTGTTTGGGTGACCCCAGTGCCACAAGCACAGCATCCCGGTGCTCCGCTGGCACTGCCGGGCAGGGCTGGCACGGCACTGCATGGTACCCAGCCCTGCAGCCTGCCGGTGAGCTCAAACTGGGCACCAGCATCCCATGATCGCCTGCCCCACTGCCCTTCCTGAGCCCAGAGGTTTTTGGTGCGGCGGTGCCAGCCGGAGCCTGGGGGTGCGGGCACCGCGCTCCCCCCACCAGCGGGCAGCCCCGCATCAAGCGGTGCTGTAGGGCCGGGCTGTTTGCCGGGATCCCTATAGCAACACGGGAGCAAACACGGGCACTCCTCCGCAGCTGAGTCACCCCTACGAGGTGCCGTGCTGATGACACAGCCCTCCGCCGCTGCCCGCTCAGCTGGGTGGCCAAAACTGCCCCAGTCTGGGTCCCCGGCCACCAGGGACATCCCCACGCCAGGCTGCCCTCGCTGGGGAAGGGACAGGGACCGGTGCCATGCCCCGGGGAGGCTGGGGCGGGTGGGATGCTGCCGACAGCACCAGGGTTGGCTCTCACCCGCTCAAGGGGCTGCAGGGACTCCAGCCTCCGGCCGCGGGCTGCAGCGCTGGCCTTGGGGGGAGGGAGGCGGAGAGCGGGGCAGGGGAGGGCTCAGGGGTGCCCCCCCTTGCCACTGCCAGCCCCCAGCCCCACACCGATGGGACAGCCTTACCTGGTGACCCCGATGTGCCGGGCAAGGACCTCCCAGGTGCTGCCTGCGGGGAAGCAGGGAGGCACTGAGTTTGGCGGCCCCCGCACAGGCGGGCTCCGAACCCACCCAGAACAGGCGGCTTCCCCATGGGGAGAACATCCCACATCCATGGGGACCCAGGACGGGGTCTGTGCCCAGCGCAGCAGCCACTGAGTGGGCAACCTGGCATGGCACGGCATGCCCCTGCTCCCGGGCAGTGGCTGAGACCTCGTAGAGCCTCAGCAGCCCCCCAGTCCCCAGCAGGATGGGATCCCCACACCCACGTGTCACCATTTTGGGCGTCCGGCCCCGAGGCACTGCAGGGAGAGGGGAGAGCAGAGGGGCAGGAGGGCGCACCCCCATGGCAGGTTGCCCTGGCACCCCGTACTCACAGCTGGGCCCCAGCAGCTGGTCCAGGATGGGCAGCGTGTACAGGCATATTTGGAAAACGAAGTGGGCGAGGAGGAAAAGGATGCTGGTCCCCAGCAGAGCTTTGAGGAGGCGGCCGGTGTGACCTGCGAGATACGGGCACCTCATTACCCATCACCCGCGGTGACCCCGGGGAGCACCAGCATCCCCAGTGGGGACCCGGCACCCCTGGGATGAGCTGGGAAGGGGTGCACTGCAGCCATGCCCAGTGGTGCCAGGGGTCTGCCCCCGAGGAGAGGGTCCCAACCAGGACCTTGCACATCTCGCTGAGCAACCCAAGAGCAGTCTTCCTTACTGCATTACTGGGGAAACTGAGGCACGGGACAAACGCAGGGATCCAGGGCCCCAGGACCCCACTCCCCCCTTCTTGCCCCTACAGCATCCTCCGCAGCACCCGGGCACTTCCCAGCCCCATCCCACCAGGACCAGCATCGGGATGCGGCTCACCATCCCCATCCCTGGTGGAACATGCTGGGGGGGAGGCTGTGTGTGTCCCCCGCACCGTGAGCCCCATCAAACCTTCCACCAGCTGCAGCCGTGCCCCCATCCCACCCGGCTCCCCGGGCCGCGTGCCCGTTTTCCTGGCCACGGGACAGGCAGCGAGCCCACCGCAGCTGCGTGAGGGCCGGTGAGCGGCCCTGGGCCAAAAACTCTCCCTCCGCTTGTTTTTTCCTGTAAATCTGTGCGAAAGCTCTCGGCAGCACCCGGGCTCCGGGGCCGCGCGAGCCCATGAAATATTCAGAGGGCAGAGCTTTTAGCCGCGGCCGTGCCAGGCGCTGCCGGCTTGCGTTACAGCGTGGCTCAGCCTGGCACGGAGGGCAGGGGGACAGCAGGGCTATGGGCACCCCCGGTGGCGGGGAAAAAGTCC